CCGACTGGCCTGATAATTATGTTACAAAAGGAGACAAGCCTGCCTTCTAGGAATTCCTTCCTTTCTGTTATAAAGGGTTTTCATTCTTCTTGGCTGATCAGAAAGAATGCAGAAGGAATCTGGAAAAGCAAATGAAAGTGGCTCAGCTTTTCTTATTTTAAAAACTGAAAGAATTCAGAAGTTCTTCCCTAACTTCAAAACTTAATGAGCCTCTGAAGCAATCCCTCCTTTTAATTTAGATCATCAAATTAAATTTTGCAAAGAAAACTAAGCATCGGATTCTAGTCCTGACAGGTAACGAAAGCACGAAACCATTTTCACACACGTATATGATGCATGCCACTTTTTGTACCGGCCTTTCAGAAATGTAATAAGCAGGGTGTGTGGGGTTTTTTTATTCCTCACCTACTTTACTGTTCTCTGCTTGACTCCAACTTTGTTTTGGAAGACAAGTCTCTTATTTTTGATGCTGCTTTTCCAAAAGTGAGAGGGCAGAGGGATGGGAGTCCATCCAAGTTGTTGTTTAAAGCAGAACTTGGGGGAATAACAACTTATACTCTTGCAAGGAGACCAGGGAGGAGGAGGACAACAACCGCTTCTCCCCTGATTTAGGGGAGTACAGCTCCCCAACTAGTGCAGGTAAATCTGTTTCTGCAGAATGACAAATACGCTCCACTAGCATTTCTGATTCTTTGCTGGTGAGCTGTTCCTTTCGCTTCTGTGCAACTGCTGAGTTAAAAGGCTTTACGTTTAATAACATGCTTAAATTTGGCAAATAATATGTTTAAATAATATAAATAATATGCCTAAATTTGGCAAAATTAACTTCTGTAATGCTTTTTAACTTTGATGGAAGTTACTTCATTCCTCCTTGAAATCTTTTTATCTGTCCCAATTTTCACGTGGTTAAACTTCCATGGCTAATATTCAGGTGTTACGGAGCTGGCAGTGTTAACTCCCTGATTCTAATTTGAGCTCTAAATTGCAAAGCTTTCAAGTTAAAGCTTTTAAAGGGCACAGTCATATGTACTTGTGAGTACACATTGGCTATTAAGCTCTCCAGCTGACAGAATATTTAGTGTATAATGGTCAAATGGCAACTGTTTAGGATTAAATGTGTAACTGAACTGACGCCTTCCATTTATAACTGCGCTTCGATGCAGTTGTCAGAGAAATTTGTTTTACTTGTGGTTTTGCTACTAGCTCTTCCCCATTCAGGCATGATATATGGTAATACCGTTGCTGACCATTCATCAAGTGGGAAACAGATGGCACTAGTTTCCCTTGTATTGAAAGATGGCGTTGAAAGGCTGCTCCTGTGAGAGTGGCAGCAACAATGCAAAACAAAATATTTTGAGAATATGTGTCTGATGCCAGTCTTTGCCAGAGAATTAATTGTAAAATACGCATTTTGTTCTACTGTAGTATAAATACCAGCTGGTGACAGAGATCATCTCATCAGCATCTGGATTTCTGGCAGAAACCAGGTTAGAGAGTGAATCACATTGTTGATAGCAGTTCTGTCTTGCCCTGTAACAGTCAAGATGTAATTACTGCTTAAGTTTTGCAGCACTGATGAACCATGTGTCTGCAGTTAGTGTTTGACTTTCTACACAAAAACACCAGACCATGGACTTAAGGTTGGGGTGGTCAAAATGTAAAATTGCTGTTTGGTAGTTGAAAATTCCCAAGTGAGTGTGCTGTTGGATCTCCAGAGGCTTTTTAAACACAGCATCTTCAAGAGACTGTCTCTTGAAGTAGCACATTGGATGCTAAGAAACAAAATACATATTCTTCAGTGTTTGCCTAGACACTCTGTTGTTTGTCTTGACAGTCCTAGGTTACTAACCTGATTTGTCTATGCATTCATTTGCTACATGTCCCTGAAAACATACCTGAGCAGAAGCACAGAGTAGTTCCAAGTCTAACCATCCCTTAACAAGCCCGTTCAACAGGTCACTAGTGGGATACCTTCTTTCACTTAACTGCAGCTGCTCCTGGCCTCCAGGCCAATAATGTGTGAATATTGAATCTCCTCAGAAGCCTGGCAGGATTTGGGGTGACTTTGCTGGATATTTGCACAAGTCATCCTTGGGAGAACCTACCCTTCGGTGAGCACCTTGTGCTGCAAATATGCACAAAGAAGAAAGCAATACAGCGGTTCAAGCCTGTGGCAGCCAGTATGAGTTGGGACAGGAGGGAAGGAAAGACCTATCCCTTCCATCTCTCTCTTGAGCCTGGAGGATCTCCTTAGCATTCAGCTTGCACAAGTCCCTTGCCATCAACAGGCTCTGTAAGGGGTTAGGTCAAGACAAGCATTTTGGAGAGTTGACTTGTGTCTTTCTACATGTTTGTGCAGTAGTAATTGCAAGGAGACACAACCTCAGTGGACACCAAGTGGCCTTGTATTACAGTATGCTAGACTGAAATGTAAACATGGACATTTTCAGCTGGATGTGGGTTCCTTAATGGATTTTGTGTAAGAGTATTAATCAACGATATTAGATAAAATGTTGCTTTTCGGTTGTTCTCAGGAGCCTGGGAACCTTCTGCATTTATTTTGCAGCGCTGCCATGCTCTGATCTTCCCCTCAGGGGTGGGGTGGCGGGGGGGGGATATATTTTCATCTCTGTGTGGAGGAGTGACTAGGCCTGGGTGGTTCACTAGCTTTGGCTGTGGTCCTGCAAAAATGTGCGGGATCTTTTTCCCCTCACATGTGATCTCTGTCTGTCAGTAAGGTAAGCATGATGCTAGGTGTGGTTGTTTTGTGGAAGCGTATTCTCGACCTCACCTGAACCTGCTTTTCAAATTACTTTATTGGTGTAATGATGTGGCAAGTCTTGGCACTGTAGACTGAAGATTTCAGGTTAATTTTCTCTGTCCTTCTGGAGGATATTAGAATTACGTCCTTTACCTTCCTGCAGGTGGAAGATCTGGGGACTGATCCCTATGCCACATACATTCACCAGTAACCCAAGTTGGGTTGCTGGGACTTGGCAGTCCCTGGGAGTGAGAAGTGACTGGGAGTTCCCTCTTACCAGACTTGCCCACAAGTGATGGAGATGCTGCTTTCCTGAAAGTCCTGCCTGAGCTACTGGATTTTTGAGTAGTATTTGTGGGGAGGAGAGGTAACTTTCTGTTAGCTTTTACAAGAATATAATGATTTGGTCTTTTGTTAAGGGAAGAGGGGGAAATCTTGTGGTATTTGCGTGGCTCCATCTAATTTTAATTTTTTAAAAGCAGAGGGAGCAATGGTTTTAAACTAAAGGAGGGTAGATTTAGACTGGGTATAAGGAAGAAATTTTTTACACTGAGTGTGGTGAAACACTGGAACAGGCTGCCCAGAGAGGTGGTAGAAGCCCTATCCCTGGAAACATTCACAGCCAGGTTGGAAGGGGCTCTGAGCAACCTGGTCTAGTGGAAGATGTCCCTGCTCATTGCAGGGGGGTTGGACTAGATGGCCTTTAAAGGTCCCTTCCAACCAAAACTGTTCTGTGATTCTATGATGGAAGTTCTCAGCAGTGGGAGCTTATTCTCTTGGAGCTTCTTGCAGGCGGTGGCCTGTCCCCTCTTTGAGCAGTTACTGTGTGATAAGCAGCAGAGGTGGCTGCTGGCTCCCTGCAGCAGGTGGTTGAGGCAAAGCTTGCACCGTGGTCTGTTTAAAAGAGAACATCTTGGAACGGTCCCTGCCTGTGTTACAAGACAGATACTGTGTGGCCTGTGAGGACTTGCCGTGTATCCAGGCCCAGCGCCAAGAAAGCACCAGCTTTGTTCAGTTGTTGGTTTGGTTTTTTGAAGAGCTGTGGGAGCTCTGTTTGACAGCTTCTCATGCTGTGTCAGACTGTGCCTAACCAGGAGTCTGCACTGGGGAGTAACTGGTGCCTGGGGAGAACTGATTTGGTGGTGAGGACATTGTGTGTTTCTGAAGGGGTCTTTGTCATGGTGACTGCAGTAAATCCACTTGTAACTAACTTTTAAAAGTTTCTGCCTGGAAAACACCTCCACTGTATATTACCTGCTCTGATAGCAAATCCCAGCCCAGGTGTACTGAAAAGGATAGGCAGACCCTAAGAGCAGCACGGCCTTTGGATTTCTGAGCCAGCACTGAGTTTGCAGAGCTGGTTGTTAAGAAGAAACTACTTCCTTGTAAATGGAGCACCTCTTGCTCCAGTGTCATTGGCTGTGGCTGGGATGCGTGGTAGGCACATGCTGAAATGTGCCCCAGGGTCCTGCTCACCGGCCCTTTTCTTGCTAGGTTTCCTTCCCATGGAAAGGAGGGTGGGGAAGGCAGGAGGGTGAGAACTGAGCCTGTGCTGACACGGAGCTGGGATGTGGCTGGGATGCTCACCCAGGCCTGAGAATCGAGAAGTGCTCCTGGCTTCTGCCGTGCAGACATGGCCATTGAGGACTGGGTGGGACTCCACCCTGCTGTTTTTAGAGCGGCTTTTCAGGTATGTCTGCCCTACAGCCTGGAGGTATGACTGCAGCTCATTTAAAATGACTCCTACTCACTTTCAACAAAGTTTGGCAGGGATGTTGCCAACAAATACCGGTGATGATGATGATGAGGTAGTTCCAGTGACCCTCGGTTCAGCTGCCAACTACTTCTCCAGGGGCTTGGGCAGGTTCACATGGCTTGTCCTGCAGCTTGTTTTGCCACATACATCAGACTTTCATTAGCCAACTCAGCTGCATTCACACCTCTGGGTTGTGCTGTTGTAGATGTGCCCTTAGAGTAGAGTTGTGCAGTAAATGAGCTTGTCACAAGTCCTGCTGGGGATTGCTTAATATTCCAGCTGTTGTTGGTTGGTTTTTTTTAAGACACTGCATTCTAGGTGCATCTGCTCTTCTAAGGCAATGCAGGATAAAGCTGTGGCCTAATCTAGCAGGTTCCCATCCATAATTATAATTTACGTTTGGTTTGCCCAGTGAATTGCCCAGGCTTTTCTTTTGGTATCTAACAGTGATAAGTAACACCAGCTCATGTTTGTTTTCACAGGCTACAGCTGGGAGGAAAAGATGTTTGGCTTTCACAAACCGAAGATGTATCGGAGTATAGAGGGCTGCTGTATTTGCAGAGCTAAGTCTTCCAGTTCTCGTTTCACTGACAGCAAACGTTATGAAAAGGATTTCCAGAATTGTTTTGGGTAAGAGTCTTTCTTTAGTCAACATCGTGGTTAGTCGTGGTGTTGATCTCCAAGCCATGAACCTGACGTGCTGTCCCCCTTGCTCTAGAAGACTGGAAGGTTATGTTAGCAGAGGTGGGTGGTGGGGGAAGGCTGGCTTCAGCTTACTCACAACTTTCCTGGTCAGGCCAGGAGGGGCTGGATCCTCTGCTGCTGTGTATGATACTGTTTGGTTGTCACTGTGCTGTTGCTGCTGATGGAAAGCTGCTGTAGTTCATAACAGTGAAGGGTCAGGCTTGTGCCTCTCCCACCTCACTGCACATGCAGGGATTTACACCCCTCTCAGACTGTGTTTTGCTCTTGATCCTTAGAGGTGTGAATGCCCACACAAGATGGTAGACAGCACATGTTCACAGAGGTTTTCTGTGGCTCTGAAGATTCAAGAGTGTTAGACAAAACTTGATGAGTAGGTTCATCAGGGTTTATGCAGACTACCCTGTTTCAGGTATTGGTGCCTGTGTTCAAAGAGGGCATATCAACGTGTTACTAAAACTTCTCATTGGAAACCCATTCTGATGGAGAGAGAGCATAAAGTAATTAGCTTTCCAATTAGGTAATGTTGCATGTAATGTTACTTGAACGCATTGGTAAGCAAAACTATAAATTCCAGTGATTTCTTGTACCAGCTGTGACCTTTTAATGTTTTTGAAATACTTTCAGAAAACTTTGAAATTCTGTATAAATTTGTGTCCCTGAATTGTCAGCAAAGCAAATTCTTTTGTGATAGCTCATAATTGTTTTTTACTTCGTTTATTTTGAATTTTTTTTCTTGGGCAATAAGAATGTCTCCTGTTTATGCTGTAGCTTTCTGTGAAATGATTTCCACTGGAAAAAGTCTGTGTTGTTGATAGATATTGTCTGCTTTTTCTTTATAGTCTTGTTGGATTACTTCTCATCAAAATCTTAGGCCCAAGTGGAACTTTCATGCATTGTATTAAAAACTGTATATACACATAACAGTATTGTTACTCTTGTCTCAAGTGCTTAACTTCATGTGTAAATCTTTGCAATCTTCAGAAATATTTCCCTCTCCCTCCCTTTTTCTAGAAACACTCCTTTCCTGTACAGATTTATAGTGCTTTGTATTTACCATGGATTGTAATAAATCTGGTGCTCCCAATTTTCCTTATCATGTTTCTTGACTACTGTGCTTGGCAGTGGAAAGATGGTGTGAAGACCCATTGCTTGCTTTTTGTTTTGTTTTGGGGCTTTTTTGGGTTGGGTGGGTTTTGTGTTTGTTTTTTTTTTTTCTGCTAACTGCAGTAAAGAAGCTTGCGGTGTACCAGGGCCTTTGGTCTTGTGCTATCTGAAATATGTTTGCCGAGGTAAAAATGCAGTCTTTACACTGAGCAAATAATGGCTTATCTGAGCCTGCCCCATTCATCTAAAAATGCTTCAAAGTCTTCCCATTTAAGTAGCTGAAAAATTCTACGGTGTATCTCCTCTTTATTTCTTTTAGAGTGGATTAGCAGTAGAGATGATTTCTGAAGAAAGCTTGTTAAAGGGAATGAGTATTGCTGTTATTCCAGTGACTGCTGTTTCTGAAACCCTGTCCTACGCATATGTGGGAGTGTGTTAGGTGGTATTTGTTACTCATCCTTGAAGGTCTGTGAGAAAGTTAAGAGCTGAATAAGCTTTTGTCAGATCTGTGAGGTTGGTTTCCAGATGTACATTCAAGGAATGTGATTATTCCTCCTCCCTCCTTCTCCAATCGAACCAACCAAGACGGTGGTCAACAGTGTGTTGTTTTTTGTTTGGTCAGGTTTTTTTGTTGTTGGGGTTTTCTTAGAAAAAAACAACTGAAGGTGATGGGACTGGTTTTTTTTTAGTGCCCCTCTGGAGGCGGTTTACAACACCTTTTGTTTCTATATGGAGGAGTGCTTTCTGAAAGTGAGACCTGGTCTTTAAGTGACAATGTTTGACCATCCCAGATGAATTATAGTGCCTGAAAAACAGAACTTGAGAACCCTTCTTTTTCCATCAATTTTCATGCTTCTTGCTGTTACCAAGTAGGGGGGTGCTTTTATTAACTGTTGTCAAGTGATTTTTTTACTTTTGTTTTTACCAGGCTCCATGAGGCCCGCTCAGGAGATATTTGTAATGCCTGTGTCCTTTTGGTGAAAAGATGGAAAAAATTGCCAGCAGGATCCAAAAAAAACTGGAATCACGTTAGTCATTTATTTCTTCTCCACCCCAAAACTAACTCATCTCTGCCTTGGTCCATCCTGCTAGAGAGGGGAGGTACTGGCAAGGATTGGGGGTTTGCTATTGCCCCCCCACTCCCTTCCCAGCCCCAGCATCTCTTAACTCCTTCTTGGAGTATTTCCTGTTACATGGTTCTTATCTGTCTTTGGCTTATGTACAAATGGTGATTATGCAAGCGCAGGATGGAGTCACAGACTAACTTACCTTGTAATTCCTTGTTTTCACAAGCTCATAACTTTGTCCAAAAGTCTCTTGTGACACTCAAAACGTTTCAAATTTGGCCTCTACCCAAAATTGGTCGTGCCTTTTTTTTTAATAGTAACAAGCAAGGTGACTTGCTCAAGCAACACATAAATCAATGTCATTTAGTCAGATAATTACAATGACTAATATCTCACAGCTATTCCCACTTGTATTTTTTGTTTTGATATATCTAATTCAGTTTGGGCCTAGGGCTGGGAAGATGATCAGGATTCTTTGTGTATGTTATAATCTTTATTCAGGAAGCCTTGATGGTAATGGGAGCCAGAGCTATGGTTATTGCTACCACTAGCTTTATTCAGAAATTAAATTGATGATTTTAAAAAAAAAAAAAAACAAAAAAACAAAAACAAACAAAAAAACCCCCACAAAACTCCAAGGCAAATGCTTGGCAGACACTTTGAACTGAACTTGTCTTGGCTTAAACAACTGTTGTCTACTAAACTAAATTTGTCAAAAATAGGAAGAAGGCAAAAGTTGAACTGAACGTGCTTTTTAAACTATTTTGCTGCATTTTCCTGCAGCCTCGGCCTCTTGCAAACCAGATCTAAATGAAACATAAGACTGTCAGTGCACAGAACTGCCTTGGTTTAGCTAAATTGGTTTTGAACACCTTCAGCGAAGTCAGTGCAGATTGCTTGGCTAGGGCAGTGTCTGGGCATGATGCAGAAGTATTATGCATGTATTTTCTGTGTTCTAGGTGGTAGATGCCAGGGCTGGACCCAGTCTTAAAACAACACTGAAACCAAAGAAAATGAAAACTCTGTCTGGAAGCAGAATAAAGAGCAATCAAATCAGCAAACTGCAAAAGGAATTCAAGCGGCACAGTAAGTGGATCCAAAGAGATTTTGGCAATAAACGTTGGCCTCCCCTAACATAGCTTACTGTTAACTGGCCAAGCTGAATCACCATCTAGATTCAGTTGTGTGCCAGCACATTTGGGCGCTCCATGTTTTCACAACCTGTCGTCCTCTGAGAGCTTGGAGAGGGGATGGAATGAGGAGGAAGAGCTTGTGTGCAGGGTGGGCTGTGAGACAGAGGTGGGGAAGCAGCGAGGGAGAGTGGGGAACCTGGCTTGAAAGTGTAAGCAATTGTAGCTTGTGTCCCATGCTTAAATGACATGTCTCTAGAAAGAACTTCTTGGGCAAGACCCTCATTGAAACTAAAGTTGGAAGAGGTTTCCTCCTGATCTCAGAAATGTGCTGTGGCCGTTTTTCAGCTCTCTTCCCAAGAAGCACTGTTATGTTGATAATGCTGTCAGTCTTTTTCTTCCATACATGTTTTGAACCCAGGCTGACTGTTTAGCCTAGATTTCCCTGCCCCGCCTTTAAATTCCTACCATGGAATTTAAACTATATAGTTTCCTTGCATCTTTCCTTACATTCCTTCCTTTCCTCTGCCAGTCTCAGTGATTTCTTTCCACTAGCACTTAGACACTTCAAATGGATTTGGATTCATAGATTTCCAACAAAGCCATCCGCCAGTGTGCTCTTACATATATGTCACTACTTTAGGCTTTTCCTCCAAACAAACCTTCCAGCTTCTTAATTGTTGCTCACTTGGTCTTCTATCTTCACTTATTCTACCTGGCCTGAGGGAAAAACTCTCCAAAGAATCAGTAAAGGCCCTGACCCAAAGAACTTGTACCTCTTCATTCAACATGCTCTTGTTAATCTAATTGTGTTACTGTAGGTGCTAGAGATAACTAAAAGGTAGGCCAGTAGACCCTTTGTTAAGGTGTGCACCTGCACCGAGTTTGTAGTCTCAATCCAGCAAAAGCTCAATAGTACCTAACCCACCGCACTAACGAGAAGAGCTTTGCAAGACTTAAACTGAATGGGTAAGAAAGATTCACAGTGAGAAAGGAAGTACTATTGTCTGAAGCACAGATCCCCATCATCTTCAAGTATCTTCTAGTGATTCCAGAGCAGCACTAGGATCTTGTCCAAAACATGGCCTGCACAGGCTATGTTTGAGAGCCAGGAACTGAAGCCTGATCCTGAACCTCTTTCCAGTCCCTCATATACAAGGATGCTCTCCAGTTCTGAGGTCTGTCTCCCAAATGCTGATAGATAGTCTCTCTACTGAAATCAGCAGGGGCAAGCGAAAAACAGGTTGTTGTCAGGTTTTTTCTTGTTAATTAAAAAAAGTCATGTTTCTTTGTTCCCAGTTGGCATACAACCTTTTCCAAGTCAGGAAAAGGGTAAATTGTTGGATGCATGTCCTGATTCTTGCATTTATTCTTTCCCCTACAGATTCTGATGCCCACAGCACCACTTCGAGTGCCTCCCCAGCTCAGTCACCCTGTTACAGTAACCAGTCTGATGATGGCTCTGACACAGAGATGAGCGCTGGGTCCAGCAGAACACCAGTTTTCTCCTTTTTAGATCTCACGTATTGGAAAAGGTAAAAAGCAACAGAATATGTGCTCTGTGCAGGTAGTAATTCACTTCCCGTACAGAGTGCTTGATTCTGCTTCTTCAGGAATTTGCTGTTGATGAACTTACTTTGTTTTAAGGATATAATTTAAGTCCCAGAGTATTATACAGTATCTGTCTGTCTTTGGGAAGAAATGTCAAGACCTTTCCCCTATGTCCCTCTAGTTCCCTAAATACTAGTACAGTTGCTGGAAAATATTTTCATGGTTTTGGGAGTAACACATAATACTCTGACTGTCATTATCTTGTCTTAAAACTGCTCTCTGTAGACATGATGTGTTACCAAGTACAATAGTGCTCTCAGCTTGCCAGCAAAACACAGCATTTAATTTGGTTGACCTGTGATGGTAGTCATTTTAAAAATAATTAAAAAAAAATCTGGAGCGGGAGGAAAACAAGATTTTCTGGGAGCTGATGAACTTGTTATCTTTTATTGCCTGTTGTGACATGGTAATCCCTTGTTTAGCTAATCGCTCTATTGAAATTGTTGTGACTTTGCTGCCTCCTCTCAAATAGTGTTTGCAAGTGCATTGTAGTCAAGGTTAGTTAGCCCAGATAATTGTGTATCTGAAACTTCCCTGGGAAGCAAAATGTGAGACTTAGTTTTGTGTAGACATGGCTTTGGGGTGGCTTTTTTCTTTTTCTTTTTTTTTTTTCCTCCCCCCCAAAGTGATGTTGCGGATTTGGACACAGACTTGTTTTCTCTTTCTGAGCAGCCTTTTCTCTCCTATCCTCTGAGCTGGAGGCTCAGGAAAGTAGTGTCTTGGGTCAAACTGACTTTTTAAATTTCTGTGAATTCTGTATATTCTAAACACACAAACTCTCTGTGTCTTTCCCTGCCATTCTTTCTAGGCAAAAGGTCTGCTGTGGGATTATTTACAAAGGGCGTTTTGGAGAAGTCCTCATAGACACTCATCTCTTCAAACCTTGCTGTAGCAATAAAAAGTCTGCCACTGAAAAGCCAGAACAAGAAGGACCACAATCTCCAGCAATCTCCACCCAAGAGGAGTGGTGACTTCCTTGGATAGCTGCAGAAGGTTATACAGATCCTCTTATTCTCTGGAAAAATACTAGAAAAGTGACTGTTCACTTTGGACACCTGCTATGCTGCCAAAAGACTATTCCCTAGAACTATTTTGGGTTTTACTGCTACAATTCCACAAACTCTGAAGCCAGTTTGTATCCTTTCAGAAAGACTGTACATAATATTTAAGATGCTATGGAACACTTCGCAAAGCTGAATGCTGCTGCAAGGTTGTCTAATTTTCCCCTCCTCCCCCCCCTTCTTGCTTCACAAGTGAATATGAGGATGGGGTGTTGTATATTAAAGTATATGTAGTTCATGTTTCTGTATTGAAAAGAGCAGCGGTTGTAAGGCGTTTTTTTTTAAGTTGGTTGGTAACCTCCCTTAAATCCCCAAGAAAATATTTCATTCTTAGACATGTATGAGTCAATACGATGAACTAATACATAGAAATGTTATAAGTCACCTCTCTAGCTATATAAATATATATTTTTTAAAGGTGTGGAGATCTCACCCTATACTACTGACGTAACAAAGACAAATACTTCATCCTTCCTATGTGACACAGACTAGTAAACTGCAGACATCTCTACTGCAAGTGGTAGTTACCTGAGAAAGTCCCCAACATAAAGTGCCCTTCAGAAGGGGTGGGAGAGCTCTCCTCAGCTAAGGAGGAAGATTTACCTAAGAATTGAACATAGCAAAATGGGAGGCTACTTGGTTTTAACCCAGCAGCAGACACCCTGGGCTTCATGTAGTAACTGACTGGTGATTAGAGATGGACCAAGAAAACATCTTGATGCCCAGGTTGGGTGTAGATGATGGCCGAAGCTGAGTAACTGCTATCTTTTGGCCCAGTGCAGCTGAAGTGTGACCACAGACCAGACTTCCTGCTGGTTTTGGACCTGACAGAGAACCAAACCCCTCACTAACCGAATCATAGGCTCTGATCCAGGGACATAATCTGATCGCAGCCTAGGGTCCGGATTCATGAGTGCTGTTTTGGAACCCTTCCCCCGCAGTGCTTCTCTGTTTGGGCTTTGGTTGGTTGTTTGTTTAATCAACTGCCAGATCAATGCTTTTGTGAATACTGGATATGAAAAGTTCTGTAAAGAATGGTGCTGTACTGAATCAAGGCAGCTCTTTGCATACGTGAACAAAAGATAGCATTTCTCACATGGATTCCCAGACAAACTCGTGTGCAAGCCATTGTGACACTCCTTCAAACTCCACTTTGCCTGTAGGGTGGAAGCAGCTTCCTGGGAGAGTGTGCTGCAGTTTTAGCTCCCAGTTGCTTCATGTTCCTTTTATGAAGGTTTAACTTGTGTAAGTTGGGAATTCTTCTTTGTTTGTTTGTTTCTGTTTTCAGGGGGAGGGGGGAGTTTTGTTACTCTTTCGGGATATTCTACAATTGATTGCTACAAACTTTCCTTTTTGTGAGAGTCATTGGCATAATACTGTGGTGGGTAGGACTTTAGGACTGGATTTCCATGTAATCTCACTTCCTAAAATGGGAATGCTTAGCAAATTAAAATATAGGTATGGAAAGATATGCAGGTTTTAAGAGGAGCCTCTACCCTCAAATACCTTCAAAGCTTTTTTTTTGCCTTTTTTGTCCCCCCTCTTTCCTTTGGGTAAGCCAACCTCTGGAGAGAAGAACATCAGGGGAAACAGGGCTTTGACTTATCACAGCCTTACAGCTTAGAGTTTTCATTGGTCTTACTTTGTTTTACCTACACTCTGAGATTCTGAAGGGAGGACAAAGCTGCCTACCTTGCTTTCATCTGCAACCAAATAGAATCATTTAGGTTGGAAAACACCTTTTAAGAAGATTGAGTCCAACCGTAGATACCATGGATACTTGCCTGTGTAACAGCTTAACTAGGTTAGCTCTGTCTAATAAGGGCTTGGGCAAGAGTCCTAGCTGGTTTTGCAGACACCTGCTTTCATTTGAATTTGTGTTTTCAGCATCAGTAATTCTGTACACATAAGGCTGCAGTATCGGTGGTAGGATGTGCTCTGATACGGATCATCTCTTCTGTATTTATTTATTTATTGCTAGATTTCAACCGCCAACTGCTTCCCCTACTCCTTCCCACCTCTTCCATTCCTGGTAGTAATGCAAAATGAACTGTATGTAGTCATGCACTTTGTATTAATGTATTAGAAATCTATGGAACCTGTTTTGTACTTTTATACTGTTCAGACACTTGTAATCCAAACTTTTTTTTTACTAGGGTAATGAATAAATTTAGACTTATTTAGAAAATAAACAGCTTCCCCTCTGTTTATTTCAGATCTGTTCTGTTAATTAAGACTTCGTGTTTCAACCAGCCCAGGAAACCCATGTGTCTATTTGAACAAGACTGCAAGACTTTTCTCTTTTTTCTTTTTTCTTTTTTTTTTTTTTGCGGGGGGGGGTGTGGTGGTGGTGGTGAGATAATTCTCTTCCTATTTAATTTGGAAAGAAGAGCAGAGCAAGGGAAGGAGGTGATGTTTATTATGATAGACAGCTGTCTCTGGGCAGAATCACCGAGCTTTCCCTTGGCAGTGCATGTGTGTCAGGCATTCTTGTACTGGGAAGGGGTGGTGCTGACATTTGGTGTTACGGGAGGGCTTGCTCTCTGTTTAGCTTGGTGGCATTCTGTGAAGGCCAGCTGAAGCAACAGCGTTAAAGGGTTGGTGCTGAGAGCATGTGGAAATGACCCTTTCCAGATCCAGTGGGATCGGTGGAAGAGACTAGCGCTGCTCTACTGAAGCTGGAGCCTGAAGTGTTTCTTCCCACAACAGGCGTAGTCAGCTGGATAAGCTCCAGCAGACGTGGGAGCAAGGTCTCTGGCAGGAGATGGCAGTGAGTCTAGAAGATAAGACTGTTCCCTGGTAATGGGGAAAACATTGCAACCTGAAGCATGATGGCTTGTTGCAAGAGAC